AGAAGACATCAATCTTTTAGTTGTGTCAGGTTTATTAACAATATCTTTTTCTTTTTCTATTTTGAATTTTTTTTAATTAAGAGCCTACATAAAGCACAAAATTAAGGTAAGAATTTTTCTTTTTTTTTGTGTTTTTGTTTTTTTTTGCATTATTTTTGTGTTTGTGTTTTGTCATTATTTTTGTTCAATTTGGGGTTTTTAATAATTTTATGAATTAATAAATGACATGAATTTTATTTATTATTGAAATACTTTTTTCATTGTTTTGTAGAATTTTAGTAATTATTTTTCAAATTTGTTGTTCAATTTCAAATAAATATGTAGGATTAATTTTAATTATTATTTTTAATTTTTCCATTTAGAATATTTTTTCTAAATTTATGATTAAAAATATTAGCACTTAGAAATAATTTTGTTGAATTTTAATTGTTATTGTAATAATTTTTGCATTATTGTTTTTTGAATTTTGTTGTTCAATTTCAATATTTAAATGTGTAGGATTAATTTTAAATATTATTTTGAATTTATTCCATTTAGAACAAGTTTTTTTGTTTTTATAAATTTAGGATTAAAAATATTATCACTTAGAAATAGTTGTGTTGAGTTTTAGTTGTTCTTGAAATATTTTTTGCATTGTTTTGTTGAATTTTAGTAATTGTTTTTCAACTTTTTTCAAAATTCAAATAAATGTGTAGGATTGATTTTAATTATTTTTTTTAATTTAATCCATTTAGAATAATTTTTGTAAATTTAGGATTAAAAATATTATTGCTTAGAAATAATTTTGTTGAATTTAGTTCTTATTGTAATAATTTTTGCATTATTTTGTTGAGTTTTAGTTTTTTTTTTCAATTTTGTTGTTCAATTTCAATATTTAAATGTGTAGGATTAATTGTAATTATTATTTTGAATTTATTCCATTTTGAATATTTTTTTTAATTTAGAATTAAAAATATTATCACTTATAAATAATTGTGTTGAGTTTTGGTTGTTATTGAAATAACTTTTGCATTGTTTTGTTGAATTTCAGTAATTGTTTTTTCAAATTTGTTGTTCAATTTCAAATAAATGTGTAGGATTGATTTTAATTAGTATTTTTTATTTATTCCATTTAGAATAATTTTTTTAATTTAGGATTAAAAATATTATCACTTATAAATAATTGTGTTGAGGTTTGGTTGTTATTGAAATAACTTTTGCATTGTTTTGTTGAATTTCAGTGATTGTTTTTTCAAATTTGTTGTTCAATTTCAAATAAATGTGTAGGATTGATTTTAATTAGTATTTTTTATTTATTCCATTTAGAATAATTTTTTTTGTAAATTTAGGATTAAAAATATTATCAATTAGAAATACGTTTGTTGAATTTAGTTGTTATTGTAATAATTTTTGCATTATTGTTTTTTGAATTTTGTTGTTCAATTTCAATATTTAAATGTGTAGGATTAATTTTAAATATTATTTTGAATTTATTCCATTTAGAACAAGTTTTTTTGTTTTTATAAATTTAGGATTAAAAATATTATCACTTAGAAATAGTTGTGTTGAGTTTTAGTTGTTCTTGAAATATTTTTTGCATTGTTTTATTGAATTTTAGTAATTGTTTTTCAACTTTTTTCAAAATTCAAATAAATTGTGTAGGATTGATTTTAATTATTTTTTTAATTTAATCCATTTAGAATAATATTTGTAAATTTAGGATTAAAAATATTATTGATTAGAAATAATTTTGTTGAATTTAGTTCTTATTGTAATAATTTTTGCATTATTTTGTTGAGTTTTAGTTTTTTTTTCAATTTTGTTGTTCAATTTCAATATTTAAATGTGTAGGATTAATTGTAATTATTATTTTGAATTTATTCCATTTTGAATATTTTTTTTAATTTAGAATTAAAAATATTATCACTTATAAATAATTGTGTTGAGTTTTGGTTGTTATTGAAATAACTTTTGCATTGTTTTGTTGAATTTCAGTAATTGTTTTTTCAAATTTGTTGTTCAATTTCAAATAAATGTGTAGGATTGATTTTAATTAGTATTTTTTATTTATTCCATTTAGAATAATTTTTTTTGTAAATTTAGGATTAAAAATATTATCAATTAGAAATACGTTTGTTGAATTTAGTTGTTATTGTAATAATTTTTGCATTATTTTTTTGATTTGTTTTTTCAATTTTGTTCTTCAATTTAATTAAATGTGTATGACTAATTTTAATTATTATTTTTAATTTATTCCATTTAGAATAATTTTTTTGTTGTAAATTTAGGATTAAAAATATTATCACTTAGAAATAATTATGTTGAATTTAGTTGTTATTGTAATATGTTTTGCATTATTTTGTTGAATTTTAGTTTTTTTTCCTTTCAATTTTATTGTTCAATTTTAATTAAATGTGTAAAATTAATTTTAATTATTATTTTAATTTTTTATGTTAATTTGGACTGTCTATTGAAATTACTGAAATTTGTTTTTTATAAATTTTTATTTTAAAGAAAATTTTGAATGTGAAAGATTTAATAATAATATTTTGAAGAGTGTTTGAAAGAATTAAACCGATAATATGAATTCATAAGAAAATTAGAACACATGTTTCATTGAAATTTCTAAAAATTCAAAGAAATTATAGCACGATGCTCATTTTATAGATGCCTTGCTGGAAACCTACAGTATAGATAAAGATTTATTTATGTTTAATTACTTTAGTTTGTATTTAAATTTAAAAGATATTTTTATAAATAACTGGTTTGCCATATAGATGCTGAACCAGTTTCAGGTATAGATCTTAGTGGTGAAGAGACGTGCACGCAATACTTTGATAGTGATGGTTGTACGACGTCTAAAGATAAAGCAGAGTTAAGGAAAAAAAAATCCTCTGTTCATACGTCTTTGTTGAAAAAAGAAATTCAACATATTCCTAATGACATTGACATGAACAACCCCGATCTTGTCGCAAACGCGAGAAAGGAAAGGTTCGTTGTTTCATGAAGATCAACTTGGTCACAGCAGACCCTTATTAACTCGAAAATTAATTCGTTTGTTTCCCAACCTAACTTGAACAAGTAGATAACTTATTGGAGGTTATGGCAGTATGGCTTCATGGCTGTGAAAACTACCTAGATTATCCAGATGTAATCCATCATCATCTTTCACACTCTTCAAGAATTTGATAGGCTATCAGAGAACAACTGACAGTAACCACAATGGGTTAGGACCTTCTTGCATTGAAGATAACATGTCTGATCACTTTTACGAGGCTAAATATTCATGTAAGATTCCAAGTTCAAATATAATTTACAATTTCAAATCACTGGAACGTGGCCCTTCAAATGATATTGTACCTGTTACAAATTGTTTTTCCCCATTTTGTTCTGATAATACCAGTTCCGACAACAGGACACTCTCCCTTGAATGGGTGCTCTCTAACTATCTAAAAGTAATGGTGCAGTTGGCTGCTAATCAGACAATAATTATCTCATAAGTATTGATTAGATGGGACTTGAGAAAATACACATTCAAGAGAGAGGGTAACCACCACAAGAAGGAACCGGTCTTTGAGTCATGTGTTCAATCTCTAGACCATCCCATGAAAGCAAGAATTATGTCAAATATGCCACCATTCATCACAGCCCTAACTAGCTTCTGCTTTTCTGGTGTATATGGTGGATATCTGACGGATGTATCTCCACTGAAACTTCTGTACAGAACTGCCTTCTTGTGACTGAAAGCATCAAAAGAAAATTTACCATGGTATGATCCCATTCCACTCTCCCCAACTCCTCCAAAGGGTAAACTGGAAACTGTAACCTGCAGAATTTGAAAGTCTAGCTTCAAATAGACAATTCGGTCATGCATAACAGTATTACTTACTGTACAAATTTTGGAACTGCTTCTAGCTATGAAAAATTGAGTCCTATTCCCTCCCCCTTTCTTTACAGGAGTGAGTACAGTTGGACTCGATGCAGAGTGGTACTGTCTGTCAGCACTACTGCAGACTATTTAATAGTATGGGGATCTTACAATCTATTTAAGGAGACAAGTGACTTGGGCTGCATTTCAGCATCAATACACGATACTAATTTTTTTTGGAAAGCGCATCATTATGTGTGGGTCATAAGTAAGAGATGAATACATACATGCAGCACAGTGTCATTGATGACCATTCCTCCAGAGGACACACTTTGCACAAAGTTATTCTTTAGCTTCTCATTGTTGGTGAAGAGATATGCAGTAAGAGGCTTTGGTTTTGAATTTATCAGATCAATACTGTCTTTCACATTTTCAACCTATCATATCACAAATAAAATGAGTAATAGTTGAAGCGTATTGTCTCTGGTTATATCAAGCATGATTGCATACTCACAGTGATAATAGGAAGCAATGGCCCAAATATCTCTTCCTGCATCAGTTGAGAGTCTCCAGGAACATCTAAGAATATTGTTGGAGCAATCTTTCTGCAATAGAAGGATAAGTCTTGAAGTCATGTTTTGTCCTATGTATCATTGTTGAGTTATATTCTAGAAGCACCAATCTGCCAAGAAATGTATCAAACCCACAATTTCTTCTGATTCCTTTGTCCTCCAACAACAATTTTGTAGAAAACCTTGTAATCATCCATGAGACTTTCCAAACGTGAAAAATGATTTGAGCTCACAATACAGGATATGTCTTTCGATTCCATTGGATCTGTTCCAAAAAATTCCTCTATCCCTTTCCTTAGTGCATCTATCTGTTCAGCAGGCATGCATCAAGAATAAATCAGTTGGAACTGACCTTCTGTTAAAGCGAACAGAAAGGGTAAGATTTAACTAATAACATCTAAAATATGAAGCAAAATTCTCATTTATATTGTAACTAATGACAAAAAAATGGAGTAAATGATGAATCAAATGATACCCTTGTTTCCTAATATGGATGCAATTTTCTTGTCAAAATAGATAATCGTACCAACTTTGGGGCAAACTCTTTTGTTGTTATGATATAATCAACACTAATGCAAGCTTGTCCATTATTCAATTGCCACTTGCCTGCAATGATCCTCCTGACAGTAACCTTCACATGAAACCAATTAATTCTGTAGGGAAAAGAATCCATGATTGATGCATACTCAAGCTATGAACTTCATGTTCTTACTTGTAAGTCAACATCAGAATCAATAACAGCTGGGCATTTCCCTCCAAGTTCTAGGACAACAGGAGTAAGGTGCTTTGCTGCAGCAGTCATGACAATGCGCCCTACTCTTGGACTCCCTGAAGAGTAAAAAAAGGGCCACTTTAGCTAAATGTCAGATGTAAAGACCTTTCTTCATAAATACCAGCTGGCTAGCGGCATCAAGTCTTAGACTTTGTACTTGCACAGTTGTACCTAGTATGCAAAATCAAATGGACGATATTAGGAGTAATGAAAATTCAAAACATGTTTATGAAATTCCTTAGGAACAACAGTCAAAGATACATTTTCCTTAAAAAATTTTATGCAACTTTTTGGAAAGTCATGAATAATAGCAGAGGTATTCTGCTACGAAGAACAAGTGCAAGGAAAAGTAAATGGAACAACAAGAATTTCAATAAAAGAATCTTCATGGAGGCACAAAGTGAAAATTATGTTGCTGGAACTTGTACGAGTTTGGGAATCAGGTTTGGGGCTTGAACTTGGTTTTTCTGAAGTTACCTAGACTTTTCCGCTGATTTCAATTGTCCAACTGTTGTATCCTTTGTCTAAGTATTCTTGAGCAAAGTAGGTACTTTAGACTGAAATAAAGATTTGAAGTAACAAATGTTTAATGGATTGTCTGACATCATCCTATTTACAAGACCTCTAGATAAGTGTTTTCTGTTAGGGTTAAGTTAAATTATGTTTTCCACCTTTTGATTCGATAGGAGGCGTTACTAACACCGGCTACAGATTTTAATGCATGCCAGTGGAGAAATGTTGATTGGTGTTCAATCCATGAACCTGTACAGTCAGAGCATTTCAAAATTAAAACATTCTAGTGTCGAACCTGTGTAGAATATTTTGTCCCACTTCTGATCAAGCAATGCAGTTGTTTCAAGAACACCTCCCTCAACTACTCGTACAGCAGATCTGTCTAGATATTCCTCAAATAATTTTGAAAGCAGTGCAGAAGTAGCAGGAGCAATTTCTGAAGGTTTTAATACCACAGCATTTCCAGCTGTGATAGCCCCAACGACTGGTTTAACTGACAACGCTGCAAGATTGAAAGAAAGGCCAATAGAAACCAACAATACAAAGTGCAATATTTTTTTTTTATATTATTATTATTACTATTATTTTTTCCTATTTCAAGGACTTTTCATGTGATTACATTATCTTGATGCTAAATGGTATCCTCTAGCTTCCCAAGTGAAAATCATTTGTGGATTGATTTTTCTCATTGTGCATAACTGAGAATCATGTTTTTTGTGAAGAGTATGGATGCATGAATAGAACATAATTTTGTTAAAAGAATTCTTATTTTCAACTTACAAAATGGGTAGTTCCAAGTTGAGATGACCAACACAGCTCCGAGAGGTTCTGACACAATTTCCGCTGAAGAAGGATAGGTTGCCATTGAGGTTTTGGCCTGAAATATGAGGGGAGATTGGAATTAAATTAGCTTAAACCCGATCTTACATGGGTATAGTCACAACAGCACTTTACATTGTCAGTATGGGAGTGATTTTTACTGCAGTTCAGTTACCTTTTCTGGCTTCATCCACTGTTTCAATTCTTTAAGTGCCTCCTCGCAAGATGATCTTACCATAGAAATCTGTATCACAAGTTGCGGGGAAAGATATGCAATGCATAAGTTAGTTGAAAACAGATGATATAATATGAAATTTTTTGTACCGAAAACACATGCAGATATCTCATCGGTGGTGATGACTGAAGTTGAACTGCGCTTCTTACCATCAAGATACATGGTGTTTCGAAACACAAGAATGAAACTATACGAAAAATGCAAGCATTTTAGACATAATATTGGAGAAATGGACATCCTATTTACAAGACCTCTAGATAAGTGTTTTCTGTTAGGGTTAAGTTAAATTATGTTTTCCACCTTTTGATTCGATAGGAGGCGTTACTAACACCGGCTACAGATTTTAATGCATGCCAGTGGAGAAATGTTGATTGGTGTTCAATCCATGAACCTGTACAGTCAGAGCATTTCAAAATTAAAACATTCTAGTGTCGAACCTGTGTAGAATATTTTGTCCCACTTCTGATCAAGCAATGCAGTTGTTTCAAGAACACCTCCCTCAACTACTCGTACAGCAGATCTGTCTAGATATTCCTCAAATAATTTTGAAAGCAGTGCAGAAGTAGCAGGAGCAATTTCTGAAGGTTTTAATACCACAGCATTTCCAGCTGTGATAGCCCCAACGACTGGTTTAACTGACAACGCTGCAAGATTGAAAGAAAGGCCAATAGAAACCAACAATACAAAGTGCAATATTTTTTTTTTATATTATTATTATTACTATTATTTTTTCCTATTTCAAGGACTTTTCATGTGATTACATTATCTTGATGCTAAATGGTATCCTCTAGCTTCCCAAGTGAAAATCATTTGTGGATTGATTTTTCTCATTGTGCATAACTGAGAATCATGTTTTTTGTGAAGAGTATGGATGCATGAATAGAACATAATTTTGTTAAAAGAATTCTTATTTTCAACTTACAAAATGGGTAGTTCCAAGTTGAGATGACCAACACAGCTCCGAGAGGTTCTGACACAATTTCCGCTGAAGAAGGATAGGTTGCCATTGAGGTTTTGGCCTGAAATATGAGGGGAGATTGGAATTAAATTAGCTTAAACCCGATCTTACATGGGTATAGTCACAACAGCACTTTACATTGTCAGTATGGGAGTGATTTTTACTGCAGTTCAGTTACCTTTTCTGGCTTCATCCACTGTTTCAATTCTTTAAGTGCCTCCTCGCAAGATGATCTTACCATAGAAATCTGTATCACAAGTTGCGGGGAAAGATATGCAATGCATAAGTTAGTTGAAAACAGATGATATAATATGAAATTTTTTGTACCGAAAACACATGCAGATATCTCATCGGTGGTGATGACTGAAGTTGAACTGCGCTTCTTACCATCAAGATACATGGTGTTTCGAAACACAAGAATGAAACTATACGAAAAATGCAAGCATTTTAGACATAATATTGGAGAAATGGACAATAAGCAAATAGATTTAAACCTCAGAAACAAAGGCTTCATATTCAGGCTTAGAGAGGTCCTTATAAAGGGCTTCACAAATATCCTTCTCCCTTTCCACAACCATCTTTTCAATACCCTTCAATTGTGACACTCTCCACTCGTAACTCTTTGTCTTGCCAGCTCTGAAGTTTTCATTTAGTTCCTTCACTAGAAAAGCAGCTTCACTCGCATCAAAAGTTTGCTTCTTCTCCTCCATCATTACCGGTAGATTTGCAGAAGAGCTTTCGAAAATTCAAAAAATAAAAATACAGCATAAAAACTCGAAAAATTAAATTCAAATGAGGCAGCTGGGAATGAAAGCAAGCATACGAGAGGCAAATACTGAGTGATTTACGGTTGGGGCTGGAAAGAGGGAACGAAAGGACAGCTTCGTGCTTATGATTGGTCTTCCATGGAGAGCAGTGGGTGAAAGCTCTCCTCGCACCAGTATCAACAACACTGTTCCACAAGACGGTAATAAAAGGTAATGAGCCTAGAAACATAGCAACTGTTTGAATCTGAATCCTAACTCCTTTTTCTTTGAAAGAGTATTAGTGAATAACACCTTCATTTATCTCATTGGTCTAACAGTATCTACATGTTTGTAATTCAATTCCTCCTTTCCTGCCTTCGTTCCATTCACGCTCACAAACACCACCTCTTCTAAAAAATATAAATAAGTTTTGGAACCTTTCACACACATGCATGCCAAGAATATACATACAGACACGCACACGAATGCATTAAAGAAGCAGGAATTCAGCAAGAGTCAAGAATGAGAAGTACCTGAGATTTTGAAAGGGCTCAACACAGAGGCTTCTCATGATGGGGAGAGCTTCAGCACTGGGCTAGCAGAATAATGATAGTTAATGAGTTCATTCAATATCACCTATAAAGCATAAAAAAACATGGGGAAACGGTAGACATGTGGAGGTTTCTCAGCCATTAAAGAAGAGGATAATTTAGAAAGTTACTTGCTGTCCAATGTCCATGTATCTATCACGGCACCACCACAGGACTTTGTTGGTCTCTGGCACCGGGTGGAATGGAAGGGACCACATAGTTGAACCCCACCTCAAGCTCCCCTTTGCTTTCTATGCTAACTTTGCTAGATTTGAAGCTGAATACGAAGTTCATTTATACTAAACAATTATTGACATTAAGCATCGCGAAATTTAGGATTAAGGCACTAAGGAACGATAGTGGAAATCGAGGTTAATTTGTGGGGTTTTTTGTTACTAAAGGTGACATCATGACAGATGTCTAGAAACAACTTTGAAGCATGCTCACTCTTCATCGTCATACTAGTTACGTGTTTGATATCCTGTTATTTCTATTTTTAAAAGTGTTTTTTTTTTGTTATTTGTTTAATACACACACATCAATAGCATATAAATATCTAAATTTTTATGTAATATATTTCTATTTTTAAAAGTGTTTTTTTTTTAGCATATAAATATCTAAATTTTTTATGTAATCAATAAATATAAATATTCAATACATTAATTTTCATTACCATTCCTGCCTTTTAAGTAAAGAAAAACCTTATATTTTTATTTTATAATCTATAATTTTTTTTGATAATTCAGAGTCTCTAAATTAATTTACATGCGTTACAATTATTTTTTAAATTTATTAAGCATCTTGTAAGTACAATAAACAAATAACACACTTCAAAAATAAAAAATATATACATAAAAAAATCAAATCTAAATACTGAATAAATAAATAAATCATTCCTATAATCACTCAGAAATAATCTCAAGTGCTATAATCTATCATTTGTTTTATATATATTTTTGTGTACAAAAGGATTTTTGCATCTTAATATGTTATACTAAGTTAATTGTATTTTTTAAAAGTATTTTTTATTTAAAAATTTATTAAAATTATTTTTAAAATTAATATATTAAAATTATAAAAAATAATAAAAATATATTATTTTAATAAATTTTAAAATAAATATATTTTAGAAAGGCTTATAAAAGCAGAAATTATTATAGTTTCAAAGGGTCTCTAAATTCATTAGCCACTAAGATAGTCTGGTATTTCAATTGGATTGTTTAAGTAATTAACATAATCAAGTTTGCTTTGAATTGATGAGAATTAAGTGCCCGAGTCCGGTTGAGACGATTGATACCCCCTATTTTTTTTTTATATTTATATTTTAGTTTACCCCTTAATTTTAAATGACTAACAAAGGACTGATTTTTTCATATTTATATTTCAATTCCACCCTTTAATTTTATTTATATTCAATTCTACCCTTTAATTTTAAATGACTAAAAAAGAACGGACTTTTTCATATTTATTTTTTAATTTTACCCTTTAATTTTAAATGACTAACAAAGAACTGACTTTTTCATATTTATATTTCTTGTTTTTTTTTTTTTACTTTCAAAACCCCACCCGCATATGTGATTCAAAAAAGAAAAAGAAAAAGAAAAAAGAAAGAAATCTCAAACACCAAATTGGAAAGGTAGGTTTACAAGGAACGTTAGAACATTGGGAAAATAGAAGGGCAATATTGAAAAATACTAAACTATTGTAATTGAAGTGAAACAATGATGAATGCATAGGAACAAAAATAAAGTTTACCCTTAATAAAGAGAGCAGAACTCAAGGCCGGTAGTTTATGGAAGTTGGTCCTTGGTGTGGACTCTTCCTATTCACTCGAAGAAGAAACCCTCAACTCTTTTTTTTCCTCAGAAATTTATCCAACTTGGTTTTTCATCAATAACAGATTCTCTCTCTCCAAGTCGGATTTGCATCTAAACACCAGGTAAATTGAAAAATCTTTTCTTTGCTTTTTAGTGCCTGATTTTGTTCTTTGCAGCTGTTAATGGGCCATCTCGAAAATAATGGGAAACTGGGTTTTTTTACATTCTTAGATAAGTAAATTCAAGCGGGTTTGGTTGTTTTTTAGGGTTCATGTTATATTTTCCAGTGTTCGCAAAGTGTTTGATGAAATGACCCTGCGAGAATTGTCATTTTGTTTTCTTAAGGTTCTAGTTTTTGTAAGAACTTTTGAATGTATGATACTATGATTTTCTTTTGTCTTGTTTAATAGAAACGCATAGCGATTGTATTCAAAGTAAGCTTGTGTGTTAATATCATCATGCATATGCATATTCAAGGTAGCAGTGTTTTGTACAAATTAAATGACTAATTATATGCTGATTTCTTTATATATCGCCTGTTAACTGTCAAACTGGATCTTGCCTTAGGAGGAATCTAAGTTATTGGAGTTAAGGAAATTTCCCATCTCATAGCATTATAAACAAAGCCCTATAGGCAGTCAATTTGCATTTTCAATCTGTTTCTCATAATCACATGCAAGTTGAGAAAAGTAGGCTTATTTTGTAGAAGAATATGCATGAAGAAGAAACAGAAGAAGAAACAAGGAAAGATTAGGGCTAAGTTATTCCATTGTTAATATGTCACACAATTTTGTTGATTTTAGATTTGGTTTCATACATTGAAGTAGCTATCATGGAAGTCTCTAAGGAAGATGATTCACTTGTGCTTCTGGACCGAGCATCTCGAGCAACAAGAGGAAAACGGTTAGAATTTCAAACCTTTTAATGTGATTTTCTCTTTAGAAAGGAACATGAGAAACATGATTTTTTTAGAAAAAAATCCCAAATATTCAGATTTTGATGCTTTTTTTGTTATGTAAGGATGACCAAGTTGATTGATGATGAACTTGAAGAGGACGAGTTGTTTTGGAACCAGGAAGCTCTTAAAGATGTAAGTAAAATTCATGTCTTCAAAAAAAAAAAAGAGTAAAATTGTATCAAACTAAATTGGTTTCATTCAATTGTGATTTTACGTATAACTATAACCAGGTCGCATGCGACCATCGTGTCATACTAAATTGGCATCATTCAATTGTGATGTTATGAATAACTATAATCAGGTCACATGATCTCTCTTCAGGGATGGTTCGTTGAAGGTAGCAGCTTGTGCTTCTTTTATTATTCATTTTTTTCCATTTCTTGTAGCCATGAGGCCTGTAAGTTAAAACCCACAATTTTATAAAATGTTTCTCATATATGTAGGAAGAGGATGATGATAATTATCAAGAGGAGGCAGAGGTTGTTGATGAGTTTGATAGTGACTTTGACGAAGATGTGAGTAATTTTTTACTGTTGTACTTTGTGTATATATATTTGTCACCTCAAACTAATCTTAATGCAACGATTGTGGTTTTCAACTTTTTAGCCAACATGACAATGTGACTACTCACTTTTGTGCTTCATATTGGTGCTAGGAGCCTGAGCCAGATGAAGCAGAAAAGGAAGTAGAAGAAAGGTTTGAAATCTATCAGCTGAAGCAAGCTATAACTACTTCTAATCTATTGAAATTTCTAATTCTTGATCATTTTTTAGGCCGCAAAACAAGAAGCGGCTTATATTTCCTGGAAAGACTTTACCAAAGAAGAAAACGAAAAAGAAAGATCTTTCAAAATTAGATAAGCTTTCCATGAATGAAAAATCAACTCAACAACCTGCTACTCCTGACCATCAAGATGCTCCTGATGACGTGGAAGGGGAAAGAATAGTAAGGAAATCTACAAGAACCTCTGTCATTGTTAGGCAAGCTGAGAGAGATGCAATACGTGCAGCTTTGCAGGCAACAATGAAGGTCAGTTATTCGCTACTGATGGCACATTTGTTCTTTCATCATGAAAGTTGCCTAATAAGATTTTCCTTTTTTGGTTCTTAAGTTTCTCAATTTTAAAATGTACAATTATGCAATCAGGATAGATAAATATTTTGTTTTTCTCCAGCCAATAAAAAGAAAAAAAGAAGGCGAGGAGAAGAGGATGACGCAAGAAGAAATGCTTCTTGAAGCAGCACAGACAGGTTTATCTCATGATGTGTTGTTGCTGGAATGTTTGCCTGATTGATTGAAGTTGTGAGACTCTTTGTTACATCTCATATAATATCAATTTGAATGTTCTATGTTGTAATTGGCATTGGCAGAAATTGTGAATTTAAGGAACTTAGAGCGTGTTTTAGCAAGGGAGGAAGAAGTTAAGAAAAGAGCAATTGTGCACAAAGCTGTGTACAGTGGCCCACAGATACGATATTTTTCTAAAAATGGCAAGTTACTATTGTTTATATTTGAATCATTTTTAGATATGCAACTTTTAATATCTATTAATGTGCTGCTTATCATTAAGGTTTTGATTATTATCATAACTGTTTTATGTCAATTTGTTCATTTCTTCCAGGTTGTTCCTATCTAGAATTCAAAGGATTGTCGTTTCAGTCACAGCTTTCAACAACATCTGTTCCATGTAAGTTTATGTTTAAATGCTGCTAATAATAGCATCAATGCTAGCTTACTGAAAAAATCAGACATGAAACTTGCAGTTGTCAGTGGCTCCACTTTCTCTGGCTTTGTTGTTTGATCTTTCTTCCATTTTTAATGTATATAATCAGAGAGAGCCCTGCTTTGATCAAAGCAGCAGCATCAGTATTCACAAAAATGCTCTTTATATTGTACTTGGATTTGTGTGATCTTCAGGCCTCTGTCAATATTTCCTATTCACTTGGCATGATGAGCATAAAGTTTAATCAATCCTAGGATTTGATTATATTACCACTGATTTTTTTTTTTTATATGGATAGAAATTGGCTTCTCCATTTCATTTGAATAACATTTGAAATACAATTAGTTGTTTGGCATGGTATCAGTGCATGGTGTGAGCATACCCACACATCTGGATTGGATATTTTCCTGAATTTTGCATCAGAATTACCGCCACAAGAAAATTCTCTCATTTAGTTTGACCTGTATTTTTGTATTAGAAACATAATCCTCCTGCTTTCGGATGTTGAAATGAGATACCTACTGTGATGAAAGGTGGTTTTGTACCCCTCTTTTGAAAGTATTCTATCTCCAGATATCTATCTAAGATATGGAAGATCCAGACATATAAAAAGTGCATCCTTGCCATACACAGTTTTGCTAAACTAATCTTTGCATAATGAAAATTGAAATTTGCATCTACTTTGTGACTTGAAACATTCTTTGCCCTTTTTTGAATGTTTTAGATCTTCAGTTTTAGACATTTGAAGCAATAAAAAGAAAAAAAGAAAATAAAAAGATGCGTTATGGATCCTTTTGTTAGGTTGATGTCCTTTGTTATGTTTTATTTCTGTGGTTTGATAATCCTTTTCTATATCAATCACTTGCCAGATCCAGAGAAGGCTATATGTGCTGTAACAGGATTGCCTGCCAAGTAAGCTCATTTCCACATTAATGGCCACTTGTTATTTGTTTAAAAGTATCAGCTTGAGATAACTTGTGGGTCTTTTATTTTGAAATGTGACAGTGCAAGGCTAGTTTGCGAATCATGTTTTTTATTTGGTGCTCATCACCTTGAGTTTGATAATTTTGAATGTTGATCTATAATCAAAAAATAATGAAATGAATATTTAATTGATAAACTGCTCCTAGTCACATCACCATTCCTTTTGAAAGTTGATGTAAACTAGTGCCTTCGATGTTCAACTTGAATGGAGCGGCATTAATGATGTGAGAACCCAATAAAAGGGGATATACTTGAGTGGCTGATCCGAACAATATTTCTAAGCAGATGGGGGCTTAAAAGAAACAAGAAAGAAATGCCATTGCCTTTCCTTCTGTGAAACTCAGTTAAGATCTAGAATTATGATCCTAAGTCAAAAAAAAAAAAAGGTTTCATTAATATAGCTCATACTAAGCATATTTTATTCTATTTCAAATATAATAAAAGACAAGAAGCAAGGCATTAGTGACCAACTTTTCTGGAATTGAGTGTTCAAGCAAGCTATGAACTGGCAGGCTGTAGGCACATGGTTAGCATCCTTTGGATAGGCATGAGCTTTTTTCCAAGTGATGAGATTCTGGACTGTAATCTGGATGCATTTAGTCAAGATGCAATTAATGCAGAAAAGCCTTGAGAATAGAAAGTATTTCAGTGTATAAAGAATGAGGTTTGAATATTTTATGTAGACAATTATGTAAAATAAAGGATTGGTGTTTCAAGGAATTGATAATTAGGATAAGTATGTGATTTTAGGCTGGATTGAGACCTGATTGATTGAAGAAGAAAGGTGAAGAATTAGAATATAGAAATTAGGGTGGAAGATGAGAAAAAGAAAACTATGCCCTAAGCATAAAACAAAATATTAGATCTCAATTTTATTCCATTATTCAAGTCTCTTGAGAAAGGACATTACAGATATATAGGGATTAAACTTCTAAATAGACTAGGGCCAGGACTATTAAAATAAGATGAACACAAGCATGCTTTCATTTTTTAAGAATGTCAGTAATTGAGAACAACTTATTAAAGACCACTGAAACTGAAATTCAAAATAGAAAGCTAGACCTCCTGATCAATTTGGAAATTATCAAATAAGATTGTTTTGCTGTAATATGCAAAAGATAAAATTCTTTCCCTGCTTACAAATCACCCAAGGCTCAATAATTAAAACCTTAAGCCAAGATAGTTACCATGGAAACATATTGCCATACCAGAGCTATGCATTTTTCTTTTCATCTTCCCTCGACTGAAATTAAAAAAGTTCACAATGAAAAGTACTCTTTTCTGCGCCACC